ATATATATATGATAATATATGATATATATGTTATATATGTATATATATATATATGTATTATATATATATATTATATATATATAATATATATATATGTGTGTGTGTGTGTGTGTGTTGTGTGTGTGTGGGGTGTGTGTGTGCGTGTGTGTTGTGTGTGGGGTGTTTTGTGCGTGTGTGTGCGTTTGTGTGTGTGTGTTTGTCTGCGTGTGTGTAATATTAGACTTAAAGTAGGTCTGACAGCCGTCAGTATGTCAGAATCCTCTGCACGGTGTCGAGCAGTTCCGTCCTCACAAACACGCGGTCGATCCAGCAGCGCCCGAGGTACGTGTAGCCGACCTTCGCCATGAACTCCTCGACGGCCTCCTCGCCCTCCGGGATGGCGTTGACCTGCACCTCCAGGAGGCGGATCTGCATTTTGTGCCACGGTATCGTTCGCAGAACCTATAGGCGCAGAAAAAAATGTGACGATGTTCTTCTGGGTACGTGAAGTCGACAAAGAAAATGACAGAAACAGGGATAAGTAAACGTTGTGTTAATACTTCATGCCCCATTGACAGAACTCTTACCTTCAGCTCATCCCCTCCTACTGAGAGTGAAAGCAGATCGATCCTGGTTCTGTTGAGGGCAAGCAGGAGGGAGTAAAGGGGAAAGCACTGGATCCTCCAGAATTTTCTGGCGCTTCTGGGGTGCGTCTTATTTTGGATCCTGCAAGTAAATGTGGCCGCCGTTGTGTTACTCTCTTAAAGACAAGCGGATAAGCCAGTTCACTAAGAGAAACATAGAACGCAATCAAAGAATTTTCTGAATGGTCCTCAAGGAAAGGAATTTTAAAAGCACACTCTACAGTCGAGCATACTTTGAAAATCACATCAAAGCAGCGTCAGGTGGAACGTTCTAGCATATATTCGATTTGTGTTCTAATACCAAGTGCATCTTATAAAACCACAACGTTGCTGTGTATATATAATAATATACTCACGCGAGAGTCTTATTGGTGCATTTGGGCAGGAGCGAGACGCAGGCGTTGATCGAGAAGGCCTTCCTGTTCTTGGTCTTCATTTCGGAAAACGCCGCCGGGTCCGGCTCAACCAGCAGGCCGGTCCAGTTGCGTTGCACCTCGAAGAAGAGGCTCTGGCTCTTGTACTCGCCGTCGCCGGCGTTGACCTCGACGAAGAACCCGCTTGTCTGTCACGAGGCACATCGTGTCACACCGGACCTTGTCACATCGTAATACCCTTCAGATCAAGGGTTCCCAACCTGATGCTCGGGAGCACCACTTTCTGGTGTCCTGGCAATACCTTTTCACAATGATTTAAATCCTAACTTTTGATAAATACCGAAGCTGAACATATTAATCTGTGAATCCGCAGTACATGAATGCAGTTCATGTTGCCTGACTAAATGTTACACATATTGGACTGCTTATTTCCCAAACAAAGAAATTATGTTGGTGCAGACATTTCTGTCCAGAAAACAAATGGGAACTCACTAGGATAAAAAGGTTGGAAACCCTTCCATTTATACTTTACTACTAATATATCTATATTATAAGTATTTTCAGCAATAATAAATTTACCCACTTTTTGCTAAAAGAAAAATACATCGGCTAAATCACAGTGTCTTACCATATTCTTGAGAATCTTATCAATCTTCGTCGACTGCTTGTATTGCGAGTAATCAGTCTTTTGGGGATATCTAAGGTCGTATTTGTCATGAATGGCCGGAGGGTGCAGCTTGTGTTGCCGGATGTACGATAAGAGTTCCGGGTCGTCATCCACGACACCCTCGAAGTCCAGGTCGTTCGGGTCTTCTACGACAACGGGGGCGACGCTGGTGGTCTGTGCGGGCTCCGGCGCTGCCCGAGCTTCGCGGCCGGAGTCTGGGGCGGGAGGGAGGATCAGCTGGCTCGCAGAAGGGAAGTCGTTGACTGAATATATTGCATTGTAACCTCTGCTTTGACCGGCGCTGTGTGTATGTCTGTCTGTGTCTGTGTGTGCTTTTGATTCAGGTCTCTTCCCCTTGCATCTTTCCTTTCTATCATTATTTTCTGTCCTCTTATAGGATCCTCTTAGGAGTGCTTGAGGATTTACGTTAATCTTATGGGCGATCAGGGAAACTCAGCGTGACTTGGTACAACTCGTTCTGTGGGCGGCCTAACCCGGCGTGGGTCGTGGCTGAGGAGGGACTCTCAAGGTTGGGGTTATAGACCTATATCTCAGGAGAGAATAAACTGGCAACTACCCCAGACACTCAGGTAGGCCTACACCGGTTTCCCGAGTCTCCTTGATAATGGAATGCAGCGCATTTCAATAAGAAAATATTGTTTACAAGTTTTAAGAATACAAACCATGAAAATACCAGCATTGTGTCGGTTTGGCGAGTCGGAATCTTCCAGAGCATGGGGTGAGTTGCCATTTTTTCTAACCTGATATTAAGTGCACTAAAGTAACTAGGGTCGGTGCTAGGAATTGCGGGGCCCAATTAAATAACTGATGGTGGGCCCCTATTCTACATAGAAAAATTTATGGATATTTATATTTCATATAAAAGACATATAAACCAACAGAAAACGAATAAACATTAAATGCTTGGAATTATAAATTTTTGAAAGGTAATATGAAAAGTTTTATTGTTTTACTTCAGGTGCAGGGCCCAATTTGATCAAATCGGTCAAATCGACTTAAAACTGAAAAGTGATTTCACATATTTCCCAGGTCCAGTCTTTATCTAAATGCAAAACTAAGTTAAATAGCGCTGCATAATATCCACAACCACCTAACCTAACCTATCAAACAATGCCTAAGTAACATAATACTCTATAGATTGAAACTAGTCATTGGCTACGAGACCAAGTCATACACATTAGCGAAATGCTGCTGCTTCCAAACATCAAGAATTCATTAGCATGATTGCTTGCTGCAGTGGGAACTTAACTCCAAGCCTTGATTATTTTAACGAGAAGTGTGAGCGCCACAAGGGTGTGGTCTTCAGGCTTTTTTTGTTCTAGATTTTGACTTGGGACATTAGTAAGAGTTTTAAATACTCCTCAGAAACAACCATTTGACAGGCGAGTGTGACAAGCTAACATCTAGAAATCAACTGTAGCCGGGCAGAGATAACCAATATGAAATCCAGTGGAGATGAATTAGAAATGGTAAAACTGTCCAATTTAGAAATCTGAGACCAAGACCATAATCAGCTGCGGAGTCGGAGAGGAAAGCGGTCGCAAAACATCAATAGCCGTCAGTAAGTACTATGCCATGAGCTCCAGTCCTATCACTTAAGGAGGCAGTTAAACAAGGAATGACCTGGAAGTGAAGTGGCGATGCGGACTTTTGAAATAGGCGACCCAGTCCATCTCCTCTCGCCGCGGAAACATTTATTTCAAAATTGGAATATCAGTCGATGGTTTAGACAGGGATGGGGGGGGGGGGGTAGGGGGTGGTGTAGTCTACCGCTTCCACTGTTTCTACTGTTCTCCATTGCCTCTCACGTTGCATAAAGGTTTGCATGTCTGATTTCTGACACTTGTAAAGAAAGTGCCAGGATAAGCACTGAACATTGCGAACATGTGAACAGAGACTTGAAAGCCAAAGTACTAAGGTACAATTAAGAATCCTCGCCTTTTTTTAGTTATCTTTCTTTCCCACTCTTTTTTGCTCCTCCCTGTCTCTCCTTCTCTCTCTCTCTCTCTCTCTCTCTCTCTCTCTCTCTCCTCTCTCTCTCTCTCTCTCTCTCTCTCTCTCTCTTCTCTCTCTCTCTCTCTCTCTCTCTCGCCCTCCTCCCTCACTCACTCTCTCCCTATCTCTCTCTCACTCTCTCCTCTCCCCCTCTCTAGCCTCTCTCTTCCCTCTCTCTCCTTTCACTTCTCTTGCCTCTCTCCCTCACCATATCTCTCTCTTTCTTCCTCTCCCTGCCCTCTTTTTTTCTCTCTCCTCTCTCTTCCTCGCTCTCTCATCTCTCTCTCTCTCTCTCTCTCTCGATCTCTCTCTCTCTCTCTCTCTCCTCTCTCTCTCTCCTCTCTCTCTCTCGGTCTCTCTCTCTCTCTCTCTCTCACCTCCACTCTCCCTCCCCACTCTCTCTCTCTGTATATATATTATATGGATATACACACACACTTTAGTCTTGTGCAAATGTACCGATCCATATTGACACCAACTTCAAATATTTCTGTTTACCTACTCGTGTATCGTAAGTAGACAGACATTAGTTAATATATTTTATAATTTTACCGATCTATTTATCTGTATCATATCTATTTCCCGATCTATTTATCTGTATCAGTATCTCTATTTCCCGATCTATTTATCTGTATCATATCTATTTACCGATCTGTTTATCTGTATCATTATCTATTCCGATTCTATTTATCTGTATCTAGTATCTATTTCCCGATCTAATTTATCTGTATCCACGTATCTATTTCCCGATCTATTTATCTGCTATCATTTATCTATTTACCGATCTGTTTTATCTGTATCATTATCTATTTCCCGATCTATTTATTATCTGTACAGTTATCTATTTCCCGATCTATTTATCTGTATCATTTATCTATTTACCGATCTTATTATCTGTATCAAGTATCTATTTCCCGATCTATTTATCTGTATCATTATTCTTATTTCCCGATCTATTTATCTGTATCAGTATCTATTTCCGATCTATTTATCTGTATCATTATCTATTTCCCGATCTATTTATCTGCATGTCTATCTATTGATCTATATGTATCTTTCACCGTCACCTGCCCACGCGAGTGCTTCGTCTTAGCCAAGGCAAAATCTAATCAAATTTCCCGCCTTGTAGTCGTTCCTCGAATAAACATTATTGTCGATAAAAATTCAATCTGATGAANGTATCTATTTCCCGATCTATTTATCTGTATCATTATCTATTTACCGATCTATTTATCTGCATGTCTATCTATTGATCTATATGCATCTTTCACCGTCACCTGCCCACGCGAGCGCTTCGTCTTAGCCAAGGCAAAATCTAATCAAATTTCCCGCCTTGTAGTCGTTCCTCGAATAAACATTATTGTCGATAAAAATTCAATCTGATGAACGCTGAGGCTGATCGACATACGCTTACATTTATAAAATCATAATATTCTCGATAAACACCTGCTTGTGCCATTTTAAATGCGCGCGTGATTGCAAAGGTGTTGATGAGACGTATGAACCCGGGGCGGTAATCACGAAAAGCCATAGACACCGTCATGTGTCTTAGAGAGAAAAAAAGTAACTCCGAGATTTTGTTTATGACTCTGGAAAAATAAAATGACCTTAACACGCGTTTCCTCCTTGCTTACTGCAGTTTTCTCGTAGATGAAAACAAGTGGCGCCACGTGCCTTCTTAGCTGATGCAATCAAAACAAATGGACAGGGTGCCACATAAACATCTAAAAAGTAGTAGATGTGTAATATCATTATCATTACATACTTGAGATTCAGTGCAATAGTAATTTGATTTCATAATTACATTGAATTATTATGATAAGGCCTTATAAAAGGTAAATATGAGTTCTTGTCAAGTCTTAGCTTTGAAATATGGCAATTGTGAAATCATAAGGAAGTCTTAAGGATGTCATAGACAAATTTTGGAGTCAAAGACTGATTTTAGGACAGTCCTTAAATTTGTCAAAGACCTTTCGTGAATACCGCCCCTGGCACCTCTCTGTGCAGACACTCATTCTGTTCACAGTGACAAAGCAATATCTTAAAGTAATATTCTCGATAAACACCTGCTTGTGCAATTTTGAATGCGCGTGTGATGGCAAAGGTGCTGATGAGACGTACGGACCTGGGGTGCATCTCTCTCTCTCCCTCTCTCTTCCCCACCTCTCTCTCTCCCCCTCTCTCTTTTCCCTTTCCCTCTCATTTTCTTTCTCTCCCTCTCTCTTTGCATATGTAGTATATGGATATATATACACACCTCAGCACAACAACAGTTGCAATAATAATAACAATAATAGAAATGGCAATAGTAATGAAATAATAATAATAATAACAATATATATAATAGCAATAAAGATAATAATAATGATAATATCAATAATAATAATACTAATGATGATGATAATGATAACAGTAAGAATAACGATAACGATAATAATAATGATAATAATAAAAATAATGGCAGTAATGATAAGCGGAGGAGGTAATAAGCTAAGGACAATAATGGTAGTTACCCCAATTAACTAATGCAGTCATTAAAAAAAAAATCCTGGATCCGGATCACCACCAAAATTTGATTGAACTGAGACACACCTCTGGTAAAAAAAAAGAAAAAAAAAAGAAAAAAGAAAAAGAAAAGAAAAAAAATCCGTTTCTTTCTGAATCCTGCTAACCACTGAACCAACGCTACCCCCCCACCAAAAAAAAAAAAAAAAAAAAATTATATATATATATATATATAACCTTAGCAGAGGTAAAAATAATAACCACAGCGACAGTTCCTCCTCCCTGACCTCTGTGGATGACCCCGAGCGCCAGGAGGCCCACCGTCAGCAGCGAGGTCGTGACCGTCTTGCCGGAGAGGGGGAAGAACCGCCAGCTTCTGAGGCGACGACGCAGCTTCTCCATGGCTCTCCTGGCGAAGGGGGACAGGGAGAGTGACGATAAAGATGATAACAACAATAATAATAAACGATAATAGTGATGAGTGATAGTGATGATAAAGGTGATGATAATGATAATATACAATGATCATGATGTGATAGTGACGATAAAGATGAAAAAAACAAGGATAAGTGATAGTGACGATAATGATAATAACAGTAATAATAATGACAATGATAATGATAATTAATAGTGACCATAATGATAATAATAATAATAAACAATGATAATGAAAAGTGATAGTGACGATAATGATAATAAACAATAATGATAAATAATAATAATGATAAATAATAATGACGATAATCATAATAACAACAATACTAATAATGATGTAATAGTGACGGTAATCATAACAACGACAATAATAATGACAAAAATAATGATGCGAAAATGACGATATTGATAATAAACAATGATGGTAAACAAAAACAAAATAGTGATAATATTAACAAGTATAACAATAATGACAAACAAAAATGATAATGATAAT